TAGAGGGACCAATAAGAAGGGATAAAGCGTGCGCGGACCGATTGCCTTTAAATGCGAGAGCGGACACGGGAGGCCGGACTTGCTGCAGATGAGAACGCCGTGACACAACGACAGACAACTTGCTGGCGAACACGGGACAAGCCGACTGACACGTGCAGAGTTGATGTGTACGCAGGAATTGTTATAGTAAACTATTCTCGGTTATCCTCTCTGTCTTCTAAAACATACGTACAACTGGGGGACACAACAGTGGCAACACAGGTGATCACTCAAGATCATAACAAGTAACTACACAAAATGATTACTGAAGAACAAATGCAAAAGTTGTTGGACGCACAGTATTTCACTTTATTGGCCGTTATCGCAGAGTTGCAGAAGGACCGAAAGCAGACCGGAAATGACGACAGAAGGAAGTGGCTTGAAGACAGGATTACAGAATTCGTCTATGAACCCAACGACGGGTTTAGATTCGAGATGTGGTTTTGGAAGTTTGAATTACTGTTTAAGAGAGAAGGAAAAACGCTGTCCGACGGAGAGCAGGTTGAAATTCTCCTACTGAAGCTTGGGCGACAGGAACATGAAAAATACGTGAAGTTCGTATTGCCAAAGAAACCAGCCGAAATTTTATTCACGGAAACTGTGAGTAATTTAAAAGTTTTGTTTAGCCGCTCAAAGTCTTTGTTTAACAGACGTTTTGAATGTTTTAATTTGGAAAAGAATGGCGACGAAGACTATTTTGATTTAGCTGGCAGAGTAAATGATATGTATCAGCAAGCCGAACTAGGGCAAGCAACGGCCAACCAGCTTAAGGCTCTATTGTTCATCAGATCCCTGAGTCTACCAGAGGACGCAGATATACGCACACGTCTACTGTCCAAATGGATCAGGATGGCGACTTGACAGTACAGAAACTAGCAGATGAGTGTTTTAAACTCAAAAACATAAAACAGGATACAAGGTTGATTGGCGAAACCAGCAGTCAACAAATACAGGTTTTTGACACGAAAGAACATTGGCGGTCACAAGGCGCAAGTCGCCCCAGAGGACCAAAGACCGCCTGCTGGAAATGCGGCGGTTGGCACTATATCGCAGGGTGCCCCTAGAAAATACGGAAGTGTTTCAGATGCTGAAGACTTGGCCACAAGTCGACACACTGTCAAGCAGGACGTCGAAGTTTCCAAAAAAATTGCAACGTCATCTATGATGGTGAATCACAGGGGTTAAGCTGTGAACACAGAAAATAGATATCAGTGTCCATAAATGAAAAAAACTGTCAGACTTCAAGTTGACACGGCGTCGGATTTAACAATCATCTCAGTAGACACCTGGCAGATGATAGGAGCACCCAGTCTTACCCCGACGCACGTCAGTGCGACGGCGTCAAACGGCATGAAAATGGTAATCAAGGGATCTTTTTTAACTCGTGTAACATTTGGGGATCAGGAAAAATTAGCGAACGTTTTTGTATCGGAAAGCCGCATCGACCTCGGAAATCAAGCAACCTTTGAATTGGGGCTATGGGATTCAGCCTTTTGACAAAATTTGCTGCGCAGTACAAGAAACAGAACAAGGTCTGAAGGAGAAATACGCCGAGCAGATGAAGATGGCCGTTGGGACGTGTACCAAAACGACGGTAATTTTGAGGCTGAAGCCCGAGAAGAAGCCTGTTTTCCGACAATGTCGACGTGTCCCATTTGCGGTGCAAGAAGCGGTCGAGGAGGAGTTGGAACGCTTACAGGAGCTTGACATTATTTGTCCAACAAATTAATCAGAGTGGGCCGCCCCGATTGTCGCGGTTAAGAAACCTAACGGAAAAATAAGGTTGTGTGCAGACTATTCCACGGGGTTAAATGACGCTCAAGAAGACTATCATTACCCACTGCCGACGGTGGACCATATAGTTGGAACCTTAAATGAAGGAAAGGTTTTCGTAAGGATTGATCTCTCAGAAGCATGCTTACAATTACCGGTTGATGAGACGACGCAAGAGATGTTGACCATTAATACATCTAAAGGTTTGTTCAAATATACACGTCTCAACTACGGCGTTAAAACGGCACCAAGTCTATTTCAACAACTGATGGACACTATGCTCGCAAATGTCCCGGGGACTGTTGCCTACTTGGACGACATATTGGTCGTCGGCAGAACAGAGGACGAACTTCTCCAGAGGCTTGATCAGGTCATGGAAAACCTCATTGATTACGGTTTCAAAATAAATATGGAAAAAAGTGAATTTTTGCGGAGAGAAATTCACTATCTCGGATGTGTAGCAAACGAAACTGGAAGAGCCCCAGACCCCGACAGAATACGTGCATTTCAGAAAATACGAACTCCACAGAATGTGAAGGAATAAAAATCCTTTATGGGACTGGTCAGTTACTACGGGCCTTTTATTGAGGGACTTTATAGCTTGAAAGGACCTCTAAATCTACTTTTGTGCAGAGATAGCCCATTTTTCTGGTCAGAGGAGTGCCAAGAGGCTTTCACGACAATCAAAAATAGGATCAATCACTCAACAATGCTCTCGCATTTCGAGTTGAAAAATGAAACTATCGTCCAGGCCGATGCCTCTGACTATG